TACTCTTTATGGTTACTTCCGTTGACTTGTAGCAGAAGTAGCAGAAGAAAGATAAGTAAAACACACTGAAAAGTGTTAGTCTGCATGATAAATGTGAAGACCTTCATTAATAAACTGAAAAATAATACTCGAAACAAAACTTATATAATTTTTCATGGACGACAACTCAATAGAAGAACTTCTTAAACCTGATTCTACTTTATATTACACAATAAGCTGAATAGAAATTAATCTCTGTTCCAGTCCTTTCTCAAGAGCAGAGAGACAAAAAGAAAATTAGATTACCAGCTATTTTATTTCTATCACCATACCTTCTATAAGCTACCATTCTGTATCTTATTTAAAAATACCACTGGCATAGTGGTGCATGCCTGCAATCCCAACATGTGGGAGGCTGAGGCAGGATGATTGTTGTGAGCTTGATGCCAGTCTGGGGTACAAAGTGAGTTCAAAGCTAGCCTGCACTATATAGCAAGACCCTATCTCAAAAAAATACTAGAGATAAAATAAATGAGTTGTAAGGTTCAAAATAAAAGAATAGAATAAGCACAACACATGGGCTGCTCATCTCACAGGCTTTGCCTTGCTTCCTCTTCAGCCACCGTCTGTGACTGCATGTGGATGTGTTTCTTGATAATACACACACACACACACACACACACACACACACACAGAGTCTCTTAAAGTGTATAGGAAACATCAGCTTGCATTTTGTAAGCTTCTTATAGGATTGCAAATTTTGTGTCCTGTGTATTGTACAATGTTCTCAGAACGAAGTCAGGTTGATGTATAGACTCATTTCTCAGATCCTGCCTCATAAAGAAATTGGCCCTACGTCTCACCTCAAGGAAATATCGATTTATTTAGCATAGAGCTTGTTTCAAAAACTCTATGCTATGACAAGTTGTAATTGAGATATGATGACAACAAAGCTTAGTTGTTTTTACTATTCAAATGTATCTAAACATAAAATCAGAAAAAATTGTTAATGAATATCTATTACTCGTAAGTCAAGGTTTTAATTCTCATATATGTGAACAAAGTACCTTCTGGAGCTACAGTGTATTAAATGTTTTGTGTGAACTACTGGTGATCAGGTAGTCGGGAAGGACTTTAGTAGCTGCGTAGTTCAGGATGCAACTACACAAGTGGTGCAGCAGACGGATTACCTCTCGAGGAGGAAAGGAGCAGGTATACCACCGCATTCAACTTCAGGAGGAAAACAGAGAAACTGAAATGGACATTGGTATGGACATCTGATTTGCAAAGAAACATTGATTGTTCAATAAAATAGTTGTCTACATATTTGAAGCATTGAGATTTGAGAAAAACATTATTAAACTCCTTCAAGATTCAGAGTCCACACATGATTTCTATCACTGTCATATAATATAAATTTCTAAATTAAACCGATCACATGATTGATTTTCTGTAAATTCCAGTACAGCATATGTTACACTCCTTTATTTTAGCTATTTATGCATGTCTTAAGTTTATAGTAAAATCATATGCTCTGGGCAATAGAGACATTTCATCTTCTTATCACTTGTCCTACAGCCATGCTGCGCACAGTTTGGCTTCTCTGTGAATATCTATTACATAAGTGAGTTTTGAAACAGACCAGCAGTATTCAGAAGTAGTATTTTTAGTACAGTGCTGGGCTTAGCACTCTAAAGAAATTAGATGATCTGAAATACATGTTTTCTATTTTCTGGTAGGCAGTCCTGGCATATAAAAAATAAATCTGAAATTAAAAAATCTTACAAACCCGGAAAATATATTTGCCAGTTTTTAAAAGTTATTTTCTAACTCTCTATGCCCTGCACAGTTTTACAATATTGATGCAGTTGTTTTGTTTTCTTTCATAAGATTTACCAGCTTCTGGCAGGTGCTTCAAAACTAACATGCTAGTAGAATATGGTTAGATTGACTACTTTCATATGTACAAATGCTGCGGGCTTTCCCAAATAACCTCTTAGAAATTTCATCACTATTTACTCGAGACTTACAAAGCACTGACTAATATACACATGATCAAAGTCTGTTTTTTCTTAAGGCAAAATCAATACTTTCTGTGATCTACGAAAGACAACTGCAAAAACGAAGAATGACACAGCCATGTAGAAAGGCACAGTTGTGTTTGTGTTGCAGCCTAATGTTTAAAACTACTATTTGTGGAGCAAACTTAGTCTTTAATTGAAAAGTTATTTTGCATGAAGGAAGTTGTGTTTCATTAACTAAAGTCAGTGAACTGTGTATTTTTTATTGTACATTTTAAAGATGCTGTGGAAATTCATTTTTAAGAAAGAGCTCTTTTCCCTCAAGAAACTGGATAGTGCAGATCTCTCATTCCCTACACATTCAAAGGAACTGGGTTCTCCACTTATCTCTACAGATATCCCACAGTCCCCAGCAGGGCAAAAGAAAAAATTATATATAAAGTTTTTACATATTTGTGAGTGAGAAAAGTAGATAATGCTCCTTATTTCAATAATAGGTTAATTTAAATTCACTACGTTCTGTAATACAGAGAAGGAATAGTAAATACAGCTTAGAAAAGATTTCCATAAAAGTTACTAAAATGTGTTGCTACCATTACAAGAGTGAAAATTGAAGTCACTAGAAAAGATAGACTAGGAAAAGAATCACAATCTGTAACTGATAAAAAGAATTGTATTGAAAAAACATTTTTAAAGACTTTAAAAAATTGACAAGAAAAATGCAAACACCTCTTTAAAAAAAGGCATAAGCTTACACAGGTCCTATACAGAGAGAGACGCCAAGTGCCCAATGAGTACATGAGTATGTGAGAAAGTGATCAATGATATTAATCATTGAGGAAATTCAAGCTAGAACTTCAAAAGATGCTATCGTGAGAAGTGCTGCTGGTGACATGGAGCAGATAGCCCATTCATGCACAGCTGGTGGAAGCATAACTGGTACACCTACCTTAAACAATTCCTCTGACTATGTCTACAAAAGTTAAATGCATGTCTACAGTATGAAAAAGCAATTCCATTTCTTGACAAATACTCAAGAAGAATCAGTGCTCTCACAACCAACACACAGAAATAAACCCAGTTGTTAAATCTATTATAGCTAAAAGCTAAGAACATCTATCCAAATTCAAATGACCACCATTCACAGAAGAAAAATTAGGAAATTCTCACCTGAATTCCTTATATTGTCTATTTGAGATTTTATCATTTAATTAAAAAGCCAGTTTTTAATATTTTATTGGGTTTTTGTAAAATATTTTATACAATAGATGTATTTGTTTGTTGTACATAATGTGCACGTTGTTATTAGAAGCAAGGTAGAAAGATGTTTCTGATCTTCAAAAAGATTTTATTCTCTCCACTCGGTGATAGTGTTCAGTTTTAGTGTATTGCCTTCAGGATACTGTTTCCTCATTTTCAATGCTTTAAGTTCTCCTTCCATCAAAATCAAAGTTAGAATACCAAACTGGAGGGAGATCTTTAAATGTGTTGCATTCATCCCTGTCTAGCTTATGTTCTCAGTGATCTAGAAAATGTTGTACAACTACTGATACATGTAACAATCTGGGTGAGTTTTAAACATATTATATTGGGTACACAGGGGATACATACCCTGGGATTCCATTCCCTACCAACATTCAGAAAGAAAAAACTATAGGAGTAAAATTCAGACCAGTTGTTGCCATGACTGGGACCGAAGGGAGGAAATTATGAAACAGTTTTACATAATGGAAATGCTGTATACTTTGATTGGGATCCTACTTATGTGACTGTATCCATTTGTCAAATTTCATTATGCTGCACATTTAAAAAAGGAGATTTACTATGTACAAATTAAGCCTCAATACTTCCAGTCAATCTGACTTAAATAAGAAGCATACCACATCAGAGTTAGTTTGATGGACCTAATACAGTGGTGCTGCCATCTTGCTTCATTGGAATAATGGACTAGCAACACACTTCAAGCTAGTCCTTAAACTAGGGAAACTATTTCACCATTTTATTTCACATTAAGCTTGTAATATATTAAAACATCCTAGATCTGTCTAGGTTTCTAAGATAAAATACAGTGTTAGGCACTAATAATTTAAAGATTGCATTGCATGAGCATCACGAGATAGTTTGAACCTGCATTTTGTTATACAGAGTATCATATACTCCATGCAACTTTGAGTGACACATAATTTAGTCAATATGTTTTAAATAAAATCTTTTTCTGTGTAGAAAAATCATTTTTAAATTGTTTGTTTTATACTGCATGATATGACACATGTGACATATATATGCTCACCAGGGGCTGGAGACAATGATCCCCAGTGGTGACAGGACTATTTTCATAGTGACAAATAGCACCTTGCTTGTAGTGGAAGTCATAAAATTTATGTAGAAATAAAAGTATAATCTCTATTAATAAGCAAGAAAATGTTTGGCTAAAATCTTTTAATAAGGTGAGAAATGATTAAAATAACTCTATCAGACAGCAAAAATTACATGTTCTTTTCAAATTACTTATTGAAAAAGCATATGCTTTTCTTTTCCATAAATACTTTCACAAGTGATATTTTCACAAGTGATATGTTGTCATTATACTCTTGCCCTCAGGGCTTTCCAGTGGAATACAAAAGATAGAGGAGGTCCCAAATATACTCAAGACGTGAGTCAGGGGGAAGCAATATAGAAGTAATCAAATTTATCAGAAAATGTCATAATTGCAGAATGGAGTTGAGAGATAAATTCAAGTTTTAAAAATTGTACTTTTACTCACATTTTATATAATAGCATAATTCATGACTTTTTAAGAATATAATCATAAAAGAATAGCAAGTAAAGCATTCCAAACATATCAATTTAAGGGATATTGACAAAAGGAAAGAAAGGAAGAGTAAATCCTTTAAACACTGTTGATCAATTTATATGTGCCTGAAAAGAAATGAAAGTATCAAGAAATACAAAATTATGGGCAAAAGTTTAATCACTTTCCACAAAAACAGTTCATCTTACCTCTACTACCAGTTGCTGAAGAGATGGTGATGCCACAGGGTGAAGGCTTGAGTTGCCCCTTATGGGGCTGTGGAGACTAACATAAGCCACAACATTTTTTTGCAGAATCTTCTTGAAATCCTGAAATCCAGAAAAATAAATAAATAAAAAGGGATCTATTTCTAGCATAAACAAAAGTAACATATTCTACTTTGTTAGTTATATGCCGGGTGATAAACCCTTCGTATTTAAAACTATTACATTGCTTAAGAGCTTTTTAAAGAAGCAGGTCCATACAACTTAAGAAAGAGTGTTAGAGGAGGATTTTAAACGATGATCAAGAGTTAGATGTAACAAACAATAAAATACTTTAAAATATGTTTCTGACAAAAAAACAGAGAAAATATTCCTGAACATTAACACAGTATTGGACTCAACTACAGAATCCAGAATGGATATTTGCTCCAGTGATAGTAGTTAATTTTGTAGTCATTGAATTAAAGAACAAACATGGATGAAACTACTTCAGTGATTCCTAACATGAATCTTTCCCTGTGAAGTACTGAGCCAAGTTTTTGCAAAAAGTAACTCATTATTCTGAGATAAATTAAGCAGAATATGATTTGTCCCTACAAATATTGTTATCTGAAAGGAAACCTGCTGCAAACTAGAGTTTTAGCTCAATGGTAAAATACTTGCTTAGCATGCACAAGGCACTGGGATCTATAACAGGTACCATAAAATAAAATAAAACAAAAAACAAAAACCCTGATGCATTTTGTGCACATTAATGGCATGAAATGATTGATTCAGTAGGTAGTTTTCCACTGTCTCCTAACCCTAACTCTGAAAACTCAAAAGACTACTGATCCTATCATAAGGTACCACTAAGGGGTCCGTCTATTATTTTCTTGCTTTTTTTTCACATATATTTAATGAGTATTATTATGTGGAAGTTCTACACAACCCTAAAACTTATGCCATGTCTTGGGAAAGTATCTTACTTTTTCTAGCACTGTGAGGTTAAAGATCATAAGGATTTATATAAGTAGCAAATCAATAAATTTATTTCAATTTTTATGTTAAAAATTTAGCCTATTCTTGTTAAGTGAGGTAAAAAGACAATTATTTGAAACTGAAATTACTTTAAATGAATAGAAAAATACATTTAAACTTTACCAATTTAGCTATGATGTAGTTCAAAATTATTTATTGCTACTTAAATGTGATAAAATGATTTCTATTTACACAACTATGTAGACACTGTGCATATGTTAGCTCACATAATTCTCCTGAGAATATTGTTGTTTGAGGAATCCAATATTAGAGAAACAAACTTTGGCTAGGATCATGTTTTATTGTAAAAAGGATCTGAACCTTGATTTATTTTACTCTAAAATCTGTATTATTTCCAAAATAGCCTGTAAAAAGCAAAGCTTCTTCAAACAGGCAAAGGTACTTTAAAAAAAAATGAGTAAAATGGTACGATTTTCCTCAAGGATCAAGATTAGTATTGAGTCAATTCCCTAATAATTCTATCACTATAAATCCCATTTTTAAGTTTATTGACCAACGTCATGTAATCTTCTTAACTACAACACTGGGTTGCCAGGCGTTTCTGTGGCAGCAAAATTAAACCAGGTGAATATCATGTCAGTAGGTCTTTCCTGCCTCACCTTCACCAGGGAACATATTTAGAGCTTAAAGTGGTTTCAATATAAAAGAAAATGTTTCATTCTCTAAAGAAAAAGACTGGATAAGAATAACTAGAATGGTACAAGTAGCAGTTCTCTAGAGTTTTTTCTTCAGCTGGACAGTTATAAAATCCCTTCATGAGCTGTACTAAAGAAGTTTCCTGATATGCACTAAATTGTAAAAATATACTTTCTCAAGCAATAATGAAATCTGTATGTTATTCAGTTTTCATTATTTATTTGCTTCTGTCCACCTAGTCATGTGAAAAGCCAAAAGTTGGCTAAATGTATGATCATATGTATGTTAGTATTCAAAGACAGTGGTCCATACATTTTTGAATAGAAAGAGCATCGCTAACAAACATTTTTCCCTCTGTGGAGTTCCACACTATAATACTTTTATATTTCATGTATAATGATTGAGAAAATATAACATTACAAAAAATACAACAATTTACTAAAACTTAAAAATGACTTCATCAATGGGGCCTAATGGCATACAGCTGTAATCCCAGCTATGACAGAGGCTGAGGCAGAGGGCCTCAAACTGGTATTTCGCCTATACACGTTGGGTAAATCCTTCCTCAAAATAAAAAAAAGAAAAAGATTGGAGATACAGCTCAGTGGCACAGATGCCCTGGGTTTAATCTGTATGAGAAAACAAATGAAATTTATATTTCACTGACAAAAATTTAAGTACTCAATTGAAAAAAATAATTGCTCACATATGCGCAAGTTCACCTGGGTTCAATTTACAGGTTATTAAGCTTGCAATACAAATAAATTAAAGGACTTTCTGCAATATAACTCTCTCTGTATTGGGGCTCAGTATATTTAAGTTAGGGAGCTAACTTAAATAATGTTAGACAAGCCTATTTTGAAAATGTAATTTAGAAATATGCATATCAAATTAGAATTAACATAAATAATAAAAATTATTACTTATCTAGAAGATTAATGAAATCTTTAGAGTTTGAAAAGACTCCAAATTTTTCTTAATTTTTTATTTTTAGTTTTTAAATTTATTTTAAAAATAGAAGAAGAAAAACATAAACATTTACAAAGCAGCATGAGAAAAATACAAGCAATACTGAATGGCAGACAAAGTGGTAGGAAATTAACAATGGTTGTTGTATTATGTATTGATATCTTCAAAATGGTTTCTCAGGAAAACAGAGATATGCAAGATTGATCAAATAAGTAATCATTAACTGTTCCTTTCAGTAAAGCGATAGACGTCACTAGTACAGTATGTTAGCTATCCTGTATATACATACATACATAATTTCCCTTTCTTTCTTTTCTCTTTTCCCTCATCCCAGTTGCTCTTTACTTTTGAGCATTTTCCTTTCATTTCACAATGTCTTTCATACCTCCTAATTTTCATTCACTCTTTCATGTTCTTCCCTAGTGAGCCAATACGTTGCTTACACATGGAGGTCTGGTTTATTTCACTTATGAGTATGGTCTCTAGTTGTGATTACTTACCTGTAAAAGTCTAGAGTTTATCTTTCTTTGTAGCTGAACAATATTCCGTTATATAAAAGTACCACAATTTTCTTTTTCATTCCTTAGTGGATGGACATTTAGGTTGCTTCCACAGTTTAGCAATTACAAATTACACTGCTATAAACATGGGTGCACATATATCGCCGTGATATGATGTTTTCAGATCTTCTGGGAAAATAGCCAGAAGGGCAATAGCTGGCTTGAATGGGACTTCTAGATCTAGTTTTCTAAGGAATCTCCAAACTGATTTCTACAGTGGTTTCACCAGTCTGCATTCCCACCAGCTGTGGAGAAGTGTTCCTATTTCTCCACAGCCTTGCCAGCATTTGTTATTGGTTGATTTCTTAATGCTAGCCATTCTTCCTGAGGTGAGATGAAATCTCAGTGTTGTTTTAATTTGCATTTCTCAAATGACTAATGATGTTGAACATTTTCTCATGTATTTACTTGCCATTTGTATTTCTTTATTTGAGAAGTATGTGTTCATCTCAGATGCCCATTTTTGGATTGGGTCTTTGAATTTGGGGGAGAGGCTGATGTTTTTTAATTCTTTATATGTTCTAGATAGAAGACCTTTGTCTGAGGGACAGTCAGCTAAAATTTTTCCCAATTTATGGGTTTTATTTTTATTCTGCTGATAATTTCTTTAGATGTGCAGAAACTTTTCAGTAGGATGAGATCCCAGTTGTTAATTCTTTCAAGTGTTTCACATGTGGTTTGGTTTTTGTTCATGAACTCTCTGCCTACCCCTATGTCTTCTATTTTTATCTACTTTCTCTTCCAGTAGATTTAGTGTTTCTGTTTTAATATTGAGATCTGTGAACCATTTTGACTTGAGTTTGGTGCATGGTGATAGACTTGGGTCTATTTTCAGTCTTTGGCAGGAGGCAAGCCAATTTTTCCAGCACCATTTATTAAAGAGGCTATCATTCTTCCAATGAGTGTGTTTGGCCCCTTTGTCAAAGATGAGGTGGCTGAGTGTACTAGAGGTTATGTCTGTTTCTTCCAGTCTGTTCCATTGATCTTCTGGTCCATTTTTCAGGCAGTACCATGTTGATTTTATTACTGTGGCTTTGTAGTATAATTTCTGGTCAGAGATTGTGATTCCACCTGACTTGTCTTTGTTGCCCAGGATTGCTTTTGCTATTCTGGGTCTCTTCTTGTTCTAGATGAATTTAAGGAGTGTTTTCCCTAGATCTGTAAGGTATGCTAATAGTAGTTTAATGGGAATTGCATTGAATCTGTACAACAATTTTGGTAGTATGGCCATTTTCACATTTTTATAATTAAATGAAAATTGCAATGCTTCTGTTCTTTCTGATTTATTTAAAACAGTCCAAATCACAAACAAATTTCCTAAATTGCTCATAAATTTTGTTCCTGACTGTAAAAGTAAGTAATGTGTAGTAAAAGTTTGAGAGGATAGTTGAGCTGGTATATTGTCCATCTTACTTAGAAATTTGGCAATCTAGAAAGGTTCTTAAAGCAATGAAATTTCTGCATTTGAAATAATTCTTTCAAATATGGAACATTCATATTACTGATTTGCACATAGGAAAAGCATTTCAATTTGTAGTTTGTTAATCTTGCTAAACTTTATGCTATAAAACTTTTCTCATCATTACAACTTTTTCTTCCCATCAAACTGAAGTAAAAAAAATTCAGAATTTTCTTTCCATAATTTCTGGTACTTTCTTTGATATGCAACAGACTGTTATCTTTTTTTAAGTGCTTAAGTAAAAAACATAACAAGAGGATTTCCTCCTATATAGAACATTTTCTACTCAAAACTGAGATACTAAACAAATAAGGAAATCAAATGGTTTCCTCATTTAAATTGTGTAGATTTATTCAGTCCATATCTGCCCATTATATCTCCTTTTTTAAAAAAAATCATGGGCAATATCTAGAGTTTTATTATATTTTCACTGTTGTTAATGCAACATCAACCAAATTATCAGTTATTTTGTTACATTAAAAATTGGTATCTCTGGTATACAGACATATCAGAAGTATTTGAAACTTAAACACTTCAGTTGTGTTCTAAACATCCCCAACTGCTAGGTCTACTTCATTAATGCTTCCTATGGTGATTAGGTAAGTAGGGAGGTAAGCAGGGAGGAAGGAGGAGATAGGGAGTAGGAGTTATGCACAGGAGAGAGGAAAGGCAGGAATGAAAGCGATCTCTATCTGAACCTACTCTCCATACTGTAGAGAAAATATATAATACTTAAGTTAATAAATAACCTAGATTGTTTCCTAACTCCAGATAACTCCTAGAAAGTATTTTTAATGTAATAATTTCCATGAACCCATCTCTTCTTTTCCAATGGCCTTTGAGCTGTCCTTTATGGATAAATACAATAATGAAGTGACCTGTTGGGTAGTGTTGGAGCTCCGGGTCTATGGCAATAGGAATAAGGTTAGGTGCAGGCCATACACAATTTACTCTGGTGTAGCTCTGCTTCCACCTCTTGTTTACAAGTGATCTCAGCAAAGTAGCAGGTATTACAACCTTAGTTGAAAAGCACATCATTGTCTTTGGCTTTAAAAAATTTTACACTGTTTACTTAGTACAAAAAGGAAAAGAAGAGAAAAGCAAAGAGAAGAAAAAAAAAGAAAAGAAAAGAAAAGAAAAGAAAAGAAAAGAAAAGAAAAGAAAAGAAAAGAAAAATGAACTCATGGTTAACAATTATTTTACCTGTCCCCACTCATACGAGCCAACATTGCCCAGAGTTGTTCCTCCCCATGAGCAGAAAACTATGGTGCGGTCTGGCCTCCATCCCTTCTTTACTCTTAACATCAAAGCTCGGATAAAAGCCGTGATTACTGCTGTACTGCTGGCCCATTCTTGTCCATTATAACTATATACAGCACGATGGTGGCTACCAACTATAATATATCGGTCTGGAACAGAAGAAAACGAGAGCCATTAAAAAAATATAAACCTTAACAATACATTTAATGACATTTACATAGCCCTATTGCATGAATAAGCAACAATTAAGCAAAATTGCTCTAATAATTAAGACTACTTTAACATTTTTCACCCACTGCCTTGGTTCACACATCTGTGTATATCAAAGCAGAGGCAGCTGTTAAAACCAATTATGAATCCAAAGCTTAGATCCATATTACTGTCCTTGCAACATGAATATTAATTAATGAAGTATACAAATATGTCACATTGAAAACCTTATCTAACATTTTTCCAGAATCATAGTGGGAAGTGCCCTGTAAACAATGTGTGTATGCTCTGTAAATATTAATGAACTATTAATACACTTGAGGAAGCAGCAATACAGTAGCTGTAAATATTCAAAATGTTATAGTCTTGTACAGATTTTGTAATAAACGAAATGTTCAGGGAATTAATTACAGGTTCCAACTGCTAGTTTTGTCCTTCATTCTTTGAAAAAAAAAAATCCACCAACATCAAAAGTTATTTAATGACTGCAACATTTGCCTCTCAAATATTTTATTTCATATAATCATTCAAAATTAATTACATAAGCTACTAGAAATGTTCTCATAATACATATATGTTGGCTGTTCACTGTATGTCATCACTTATTGTCAGCAATAAGGGAGCTAAAAACGTACCCCTAGAGAGTCCTCTGATTATGTCAGCCAGTGCTATTAATATTAACAACACAACTAAATTCATTTGCCAGAGGAGCTGTACACATGTGTAGAAAACAGTTTCTTCATTATCATTTCATAAGATGCTTCCTAACTTGATAGCTAAATATACAGACCATGAAGAGAACCAGTTTGCATTGGGATCTGGGCTTTACAACTCACCAGTAGGCTCCACACCTGGGCTGAACAAATAAATCAGCCCTCAAGCTCATGACATGAAAAAGCTGCTATGAAAAAGGTGATAGTGTGAAGCTATTTTAGCTTTTCACATTGATTTTGGAACCATCAATGGGCTTGATGTCACTATTTTATGAAGCTTAATTAATGGTTTACACAAAGGACCTAGAAAGGTTGACAACCTGGGAAGTCATTTATTTATCTCTCAGGAATACTAGAAAGTTCTATTTCAGATTGCCCACTTTCTAAATAAATCATATCCAGCAAACAATATTGACTGATGATTGCTTCAATTTTCAATCCTTAAATGTATAAAATCACGTGAATAAAAAAAATTCAAGAATTCCAGAAAAATTTGAGGTTTGCATAATATACACTAAAATAGTAATTGTAAAATTGTTTTCTTTAACATTTTTTGATAGATTAAATTTTACTTACCCTAAAACTAGTATGATGTACCACTGGGTTTGCCAGTCATGAGTTGCAAATGAAAAAATGATAAATATTCCAATGATTCAAAATTCTTACAATGGAAATTTGCCAAAACTGTTGAAGCACACAGTGAACATTTCAAATTTATTTGTATCTTGTATTTAAAGATACTATAATCTGAGGTTGTTCAATATTGCTACTACAAGGACATCAAAAAGAATACATATTTTTCATTAATTTTTTTAGAGTTAGCTACAAGAAATGGGGAGGATATATAACTTGATTTCAGAATGCCTTGGGTTTTCAATTAGGTCAATTTGACTAATGCCATGAAAAGAATAATTCTTCAAGGAGAACTTGAATAAATATCTGATCCACATCAACAGAAATGGCACCAGTGTAGTAAAACAATTTTTCACTCTACACCGTAAGAGGCACGTAGGAGAGTGATGTGTGATTCGGTCTTACAGTGTATATGGAGGTATTGATACTAGTCTCTTAATTAACACTTGTGTCAGTTATTTTTTACCTTTTTGGGCTATGTAGTATAATCTGATAAATTTCTAGGGAGACTTAAAAAGTATAAAATTATTTAAAATCTAGCTAGGTGATTATTTCCATAAGCACCGTCAGAGCAGTCAGTGAAGCAAGGATATTAATTAATATTTTAAAATTATATTTGGAGACAAAAGTTTTTATTTTTTAGAAAATCACATCATTAAAAATAAAGTCTTTTCTTTGTAAAATCAGTTTTCTTGTTTACATTTCCACCAACAAGGTAGAAGAATTTCTTTTTCCCTGTACCTCTACAGCATTTGTTACTACTGTATTGGATTTCTTGATGGTGACCTTTCTTCCAGCAGTAAGATGGAATCACAGTGTTGCTTTCATTTGCATTCCACTAATGGCCGGAGATGTTGAACATTTTCTCAAGTATTCATTGACCATCTGTACTTCTTCTGAGACATATCTATTCTTTTTCTTTTTCTTATTTTTTTTTTGGTACTGAGAACTGAACTCATGACCTTGTGCTTGCCAGGCAGGTGCTGCATGGCTGAGCTATGTCTCTGGCCCTTGTCTATTTTTTTCAGTGGCCCATTTTTTGGGGTATTTGATATGGGATGTCTAATTTTTTGGGTTCTGTATATATTCTAGATATTAGTCCTATTAGTCCTCTGTCCAATGAACAGGTGGAGAAATTCTCTTTCCTTCTTTTCTTTCTTTCTCTTTCTTTTCTTTTCTTTCTTTCTTTCTTTCTTTCTTTCTTTCTTTCTTTCTTTCTTTCTTTCTTTCCTTCCTTCCTTCCTTCCTTCCTTCAATCCTTCCTTCTTTCCTTCCCTCCTTTCTTTCTTTCTTTCTTTCTTTCTTTCTTTCTTTCTTTCTTTCTTTCTTTCTTTCCTTCTTTTTCTCTTTTTTTTGTGGTACTGAAGACCAAAAGATAAAATCCAGGACCTTGTGCAAGGCAAGAACTCTATCACTGAGCCACATCCCTAGCCCCAATTTTTCCTATTTTAATAAAAATCCCAGTGATGTTACAGTAAATCAAAGAAAACAATAATGAAATATGGCTTTTGTAGCACATGTCAGTTTAATAAACCTACAGTTTCTTGTCTCATTGTTCCCAAAACTTTCTCTTCTAAAGTTTGTTTTTGAAGAGATAACAATAAGAAAGAAAATAAAAACATACTTTCTTAGTTTTATATTGCTTAATTCTTAAAACAGCATGAACATTTGTTACACCTAAAGTAAGGTATTTAACTATGTTATTAGATTAATGCAGAACATTTGTTGGTGAAGTCTGACATAACGTCTAGATTATAAATATCTAAGCCTACTTACCTGGAGATGCCAAGCCCTTTACATATCCAATGACATTTGTAACTGTTTGAAATTTTGTGACTGTCTGAATTTTCATGCTGACAATTCTTATTTCTGAAAAACAATAAGGATGTTTATCTATATTGGTGGGTTTTTCTTAAAATACTAAAAATTATTTTTTTTCCAATATCACCAGCAAAAGAATTCCACCTAACTCTAGCTTTCTGATAGCCAAAGTTCTTTTTCTGGTAAATATTTATTCAATATTTTGTACAGACTCTATCCTATGTATTTGTTATGCATTGACAACTAAGACACAATTTCTAGTCTCATAGAACTTCAGAGCTATAGTGAGGCCATTCAAAACCCTGCATTCTGTGCTACAATTGGAATATGAGAACTCACAGACAACCTCTAGGAAAGAGGCAATTCATAATTTTCCATTTCCCAATTGTACCATGGCTCTTTCAAAGTATTTTTATTGTTGCCAGGTATTTGTGATAATGTATTTTTTTATTTTAAAGAGGATAGAAAAACAATAACAAATAGGTAAAATATTTCTGGAGTGTGTTGAATATTTAAGGAAAAGAATATGTGGAAGAAAATTTAACCTAAGTATTACACAAATTAAAAGAACAAAGATTCTTAAAGCTATTCGTATTTTCACAATTTGGATCTTTATTTCTACATTATTATATATCTCACCTCTATCACAAATCTCTACTAATTGCTATGCTTCTTTAAGTTCTTCTATTTATGCTTGATACTCAAAAACTTTGCAAATGAGATGACAACTCCAGCCAAAGAGATTCCAGCCCTTGCGTGGTAATGAAGGCCTTTGGTGGTAATATTAGTGTGCTGCAGTTGAAGGGTCCCAGGAAGTCTGGGGTAGGATGGGTATTTCTGGTAGATGCTGAAGAGCAGCTGGGTTAGGTTGTAGTATTCAGGTAGAGGGTACCAACTAGAGCCAGTGCTAAGTAAGCACATATGCCGGGAGGCCCCTCCCATCACTTCTTACCAATGGATGGAAATTATGATAAATATGTTGTTTCTTCTGTAAGTGTTACCATTTAAATTCACAGGTACAATGTAACTAGAAAATTAGTATGCAGAATCTATGCTTTCACTTCAGATGGTATGCAATTCATTTTCAAATTAACAGACTTTGTCTTATGCAGTAGGTTTGGGTTTATAGCAAAAATTAGTCCAAATTACAGTGATCCGAGATATTCCTCTCTCTCCCCTGTTCCATGTTATTAACATCTTGAACTGTGGAAATTTGTCACGATAAATAGGTCAGTATTAATACATTATTTATTTTTCAGCCATATTATTGAATTTCATTCTAATTAGTGCCACACTGTTTTAATTAATGTAGTTTTAGGATATATGAAATGGTGTCTCTTTTATCATCATTATTTTCACAATGGTCATCATTTAATTATTGCTCAATTTGGAACACATTTGTGACCAGTATTTTAATATGAACCTAATAATAACATTTTGTGTATCTTAAAAAGGCATTTCAGGATTTCATTAGTATCACATGATTAATAGAACCATATTATATTAACTCAGTATGTGAATATGGTATGCCTTCCAATTTATTTCAGGTGCTTTTACGTCTTTCAATACAGTTTTATATTTTTCTCCATGACAGTTTTTATAATTATTAATTTATGCTTTATGGTTTTCTATCCTGTATGCCTTTTTGAATTGTGTGTAAGACTGCTTTGAATGCACAATTCGGTCTTGCAATGTGACTTCTAGTTCATTTCTTGTGTGATCTAGGGTTGATATTTAGGATTTTTATTTCTGCTAGTGTTCAGTGAAGATATTTCCTTACTGCCAAAAGATAGTTTCATTACTTTTTGAAATATTATAGCTTTTGATTGCATCATTTCAGAGCTGAAGCAGTGATAGCAACACGGCATGCTCTTTGTCCTTTGTTCTTGACATTTAAAATAATGTTTCAAAGATTTTATCTTTTAAAAGATGTTTGCTTTAGGTTTCTGGGAAATTCCTTTTATCAAAGTAAGAAGATTATTTCTTAGTTGGCTAAGAGGTTTTACCATAAACAGATGTTTAATCATCTATTAAGATAACTGTAAAGTTTCTTGCTTTAGAGTGTTTACAAATGCCTGTATTTCTGGAATAAGTTCTACTTTATCACAATCTGTCCTCTCTACTTGGTGACTAACATTCCTAGGCTATTTGCATATATAACAGTAAGTGATTAGTCCATAATTTTACTTCTCATTTGTTATAATCCAGTTTTGACAACTAGATTATATAATCTCACTAATGTTTTAGGAAACTTTTATTTCTTACCTAGATACTGTAACAGTTTATGTACCATAAAAAATTTTGTGTTTTGCAAAAAAGAGGTACAATATACATATAAATATAATTGTTTAAATTTTCCCTTTAACATTATGTTATATGTCTATTATTTCCTTCCTTAAAGCTTACCTGAATGTGCAATACTCTTCTTTACTTAAGTTCCTAATTTAAATGCTTCATTCATTGCCTTTCAAACTTTATATATACATATGTGTTCACACACAGAGTCCACCAAAAATTATACATCATAGAAAGAAAAACTTGTACAAATATTTTAATACTAAATTTATTGAGACATCATGAGATCAATACAAGTTATCTTTGGTCTCTATAATTTCAAGAGGTGCTCAGAGTGGTGACATTTATTTGTACAGCAAGTATATATTTAGTGGACCTTATTTTTAGATTGTTCAGTGTTGAAATTTCTGTTCTAATTCCCTTCAAAAATATATGCATTTAGTGGATATAGTTCTAAATACCACATAAAATGTGTGAGTTACTCTTTTAATATTCATATAGAATTTAAGACAGATAATGTGAAGGTACGGATTTGAGTTTGTACATATAATTAGTATATGGGAAGAAAGTTTGAAGAATATTAACCCCAGAAAAAATAACTTAGGCTGTGCCCTTGTAAATCTGAAAATTCAGTTATTGAGTTACCATATCTTTCTACCAAACACTCTATAAAATCACATAACAGAAGTCAGCAGATTAATCACCTGCTGTGCTATCTTATGCTGCATATTTTCTAGTTGTCCATTCAGATCTATATTTTATCTCTGTGCCCAGAACAGTTACCTGCCTGGCTCTCTAAATCTGTGGCTTCAGGTTGAATTTATCCAGTGGAAAGGATCAACAAGTGATTAGCAGCTGAATACTGATTGATTGGAGGATTTGTTCTCCCACATCCTCCCTGGCTGTTTGCTTGTTGGCAGTGCCTGCATTGCTGGACTGAAAGTCACAGCTCGTCTCTTACAGCTCGAAATCTTGTGATTCCTGTACCTGTTCTCCTTTCTTGTGCATTCTAGACTATAGGTAGTAGAAACAACACTTCCTGGTTTAGAGCTTGCAGTACTGAGAACATATCATTTCTTTTTTCCTTTATCTGTGTCCACCTTCTGCACAGACTACTGACCAAATGCACCTGAATGGCATGCATTTAGCATGTCAGTGACTTCCTTATGGAAGCCTCATTTCTGTGTGACTTATTGTACGTATAATCATAGATTTACCCATACTTGTTGCCACAAAATGAATGGCTGGAGAGGAGATTTCCTTTATTGTTAATATGGCATGCTAGAATATCAGACTAAGCTTCCCACTAAAAATGATTTATGATGATGAAAAAGAAAACCAGTATGGCTAACAACATCCAAGAAAAAGCAAAAAATTAAGGATTTACTAGGTCAACAGTTAAGCTCTGGACTGATGGGAACCCAGAGAAATAAAGTTGAAGCTGTTTTCTTTTTTTTTTTTTTGGTACCAGGAATCAAACTCATGACCTCACACTTGTCAGGCAGGCACTTGTGCCACTGAGCAATATCCCCAGGCCCAAAGCTGTTTTCAGCCTGAGGGGATTAGCTGAGTTGGAGAACCCTTTCATCTTGATGGCTTCCTGGGAAGCAAGTGTCATAAGACTCAGTCCTGGGCTTGCACACACCACTGAAAGGAAGACAGCTCTAGAAAGTAGAAACTCTAGACGTTTGTGCTCATCTATACCAAAGATAGTTCCCCTGCATAAAGCAGAGAAGGTACAGGGTTCCCTGAGAAAAAAAGTATGCAAAGATATTTATATTTTCTAAAATAATAGGGAAAATATGACAAAAATCTCTATCTAAAGAAAAAACAAAAGGAAAGCATATGTAGTGCAAAGATGAAACTCAAGATGAAAAATATAAATACATAGCAATCACACTGAATGCAATGGAGAAAATGCTCCAATTAAAGTATGATTAGATTGTGCATTATTTGCTATTAATCAGAAATGTATAAAATAAAGAGAGACATAGAGAAGGGTTGGGAGGAAAAATGATTCAGCATAAAGTTAACAAAAAAATTAGCTAAGCAATATCAGTCCCCCATCAAATCTAAGGCATGCTTTATCAGATATAAAGAATACCCCTTCATTTAATAAGTGGTTCAACTAATCAAGAAAATGTGACATATTGCAATTTATAAACATTTAAATAATGGCTTCCAATTATATAAAACAAAAACTAGACAAAATTGGAAGATAAAATGGACAAGGCTATATTTAGAAAGGTTGATTTCAAGATTAATAAGGTATGGATTATTTGAACATTGAAATGAAGAAATTTGGTCCAAATAGGCATATATAGAACACTAACTCTGACAGTTACACAGATCTCTGTGTAGTAGTCATGAAACATGGATCACATCCTGGTTGATGACGAAGATCTTAAATAATTGAAATATAGAAACAAAGCAGGAAAAACTTATTCCAATACAATTCTAAATTAATTTATGCTTTCCTTAGTTACTGATATTTGACTTCACACGTCCAAGTGGCACACAGATGCTGAAAGACTATCAGGGAGAGTCAGAGAAGTTTATTCCATCTGGAAAGTAATCCAGGCACTGGAAAGGACATTTTAGGGAAGATGGAATTCTTAATGAGACTTAAGAATTTAGAAGATACCAGGCCTTTACAACATGCAAGAAACCTCTGCATACTATGGAATAAAACAACAGGAAAATATTGGATGCATAAAGCCAGTAATAGAACCAGAAAGGCAATGGTAATCTCT